TGCATGGTAAAAAAAAAAAAAAAAAGCAAAAAACAAAAAAAACAAGAAAACAAAAAAACAAAAACTATGCAGGAGAATCAGGATCTCCAGTAGTGTTAAAATTGACATCCAACTTGTGGTGGAATATATAGGCTATGATAACCTTAATGTCTTAGATTTAGAGCTAGGAATTACTCTAGTTCAAGCAGCTCCTCCTCCCCCAGTACACACAAGTGAGGTAAATGAAACTCAGAGAGGTTAAATGATTAGCTTAATGTTGTACTGACCACTCCAGAGTTTTGCTTAAAGGAAAAAAAAACTTTCCATAGGTCCACTTATTTCTTTTCTTTTCATACAGTAGAGGAGGCATAGTATACTCAGATTTATAGATAACAGGTCCTTGGTGGGGTGGGGATGGAGAGGGAATTAAGTATTTATATAGCACCTACTGTGTGTCAGGCATTGTGCTAAGCACTTTTTACAAGTATCTTATTTGATCCTCACAACAACCATATGAAGTCTATACTATTCTTATCCCCACTTTACAATTGAGGAAACTGAGGCAAACAGAGGTTAAATGACTTGGCCAGGGTCACACAGTAAATGTCTGAGGCCAGATTTCAACTCAGGTCTTCCTTACTCCAGGCCCTGGGTTCTATCCACTGTGCCATCAACTGCCTTGTTAGTTAAGAAGCAAGTCCACAGCAGTTGAGACTGAGAGTTAAGAAAAGGTTATGAAAAATGGGGAAAATAGGAAAAAGAGTTGGCATGATGGTAGGGTCAGTGGACTACAGAATATAGGAAGAGATGGATCAAGAGTAAACATAAAGAGTACACATGAAGGTCATCCCTAGGGCAGGGGAGAAATCATCATCGGAGACTGAAGGCAATAATGGAGCATGGTGTTAGAAGGATGTGAAATGAAGAGGAGGGGAAAAGAGTAAGCTCTTGATGGATGGCCTCAATTTTTTCAGTGAATAGGAGTTGAGGTCTTCAGCTGAGCAGATCAGGGAAGGGGATGGGGTGGAATGCTTGAGGAAAGAAGAGAATGTTTGGAACACCTGCTGTGGCAACTGATGCAGAGACTCGGTTTGGGAGGAAGAGTAGGATTGTCTTCTTGCAGTGAGGGCCCAGCATGGTTTCATGATTTTCTCTAGTTCCATTCAGCAGCATATGAGGAGGAACAAAGTAGTTGGATGGTGAGAGTAATCCATGGCTGAGGTTAGGCAAGGGATTGGAAATTAAAGGATAACGTAGAGTAAAAATCCTTCATCCAGGCACCTTCCTATGATTTACTCCTTCCTAAGCCTATACTTTGCTCCTTCCTGTGACTTCCAATCCCACTAAAGTCTATCTCAGGCCATTACCCTCCTCTGGCTATATTTGAGCCCCTTTCCAATCCTGACCAAAAGGTGAAGTAATTCAACTCTGTTATTTTCTACTTTCCAAGTCTTTTTGTTCCTTTGTCCTAACACAAATTACATGTTGCTGCACTCTCTCTAATGTTCAACATATCTCCCTATCTACCTATTCCTTCCTTGTTTCTTACAGACATGACCATCCTTAAAAACTAATCCCCACTCAACCCTTCTATGCCTGCCATTTTTCATCCTGTGTCTCTCCTCCCCTTTTCAACTAAACCTCCTTTAAAAAGTTTATACTTCTATTACTTTCTCTCCTGACTTCATAATTTGACTATAACTTCTCTCCAAATTACCAGAGATATCTTAATTGCCTAGAACCATGTCCTTTTCTCAATCCTCATCATTCTTAATCCCTCTTCAGCATTTTGTACTTTTTCTTTTTTTCCTGGAAACTCTCCTTTCCTCATTTTTGTGACTGTTCTCTCTGCTGGTTCTCTTTTCCCCTTCTCAGTCTCCTTTGCTGGATATTTATCCATGTTATGACCACTAACTGTGGATGTCTCCCAAGGTTTTGTCTAGGCCTTATCTTCTCACTCTATACTATTTCCTTTGGTGATCTCATTGGCTCCCATGGATGCATTTATCATCCATGCACATAATGCCCAGATCCATTTATCCAGCTCCAGTCTCTCTCCTGAGCTCCAGGACCATATCACCACTGGGCTATTGGACATTTTGAACTAGATGTCTTGAAGGCCTCTAAAACTAAACAGGTCCATAATAGAACTTACTCTATTTACCCAAACCTATCCTTCTGAACTTTTCCATTATTGTTGAAGGCAACACCATCCTTATAGTCACTCATTCACACTCTCAGTGTCATCCTCTACTTCTCATTTACTCAACAAACATCCAATTAGTTGCTAAATCTTGTAATTTCTTTTTAAGACTCTCAAACACTTCTCTCATCTCTCTTTCCTCTCTCACGTGGACTCCACTCTAGCAAGTCTTCATCACTTCTAGCTCAGACTATTGCAATATCCTTCTAATTGACCTCCTTGACTCAAGTCTCTTCCCCACTCCAGCCCATCCTCCATATAATGATTTTCCTAAAATGTAAATCTTACAATATCATCCCACTACTCAGTTAAATTCCAGTGTTTCTAGGATCAAATATAAAGTGTTTTGTTTAGCATTTAAAATTCTTTACAACTTGGCCCCTTCCTATCTTTCCAGTCTTTTAACATATTACTTCCCTCATCACATTCTATAGTCAAGTTATACTGGCCTCCTTACTGTTCCTCACACAACATACCCCATCTCCAATGTTGAAACCTTTGCACTAGCTTTCCACTAAAACTGAAATTCTCTGTCTTCTAACTTCTGACTTTTAGAAGCCCTGGATTCCTTTAAGACTCAGTTCCAGGACCACCTCCTCCAGTCAGTCTTTCCTAATTCTTCCAGCTGCCTTTCTCTCTAAGGATATCTTCTATTTACTCTACATTTATCTTACATATATCAATTTAGACATTTAGTCTTCTTTAATTCAGGGACCTTTTTTATTTTTCTTTGTATCCCCAGCATTTAGCACAGCACCTAGAACTTAGTAAACACTTAACAAATATTTACTGACTGCTTGATTTAGGAACTCACATGACCTTATGTAAACAATGTAATAGAGTAGTTGGTATAGAACCAAGATGTGAAGGGGTAAAAGGTAAGTATGCCACAAAGCTAAGCAACTCTATCTTTTTGGTGTTTGGTGTGAAAAGGGAGAGGTAATAGGATACATGAGGAAAGGAGGATCAAGAGAAGTTTTCTTTGGAAAGAAGAGACCAAAGTATATGCTCTAGCAGGAGTGTGTGAGTAGAAAGGGAGAAATTTAAGATGCAAGGACTGGTAAGGGATCATAACTGATGAAGCAAGATCCCAAGGTATGAGGTCAGAAACAGAGAAAAAGAAATCAGTCTTGCAAAAAAAGAGAAACTCCTCTTTCTCTGAGACAGAAGAAGTAAAGAAAATGCAAAAAGACAGAGAAATTGTGAAATTTAATTGATTTAATTCATTCCTCTAGAAAATTTTTGAGTACCTTCAGTATACAAGACACTATCCAATTAACTCCCCAGCTAATTATTCAGTTCACCATTTCATTGCCCTTTTGTAAAAACAGTCTTTGCTATAAAGTTTACTATGGTTTTGCGGTACTCATAAAGAATAGGGGGTTCTCAAACTTTTTTTTTGAGCCTCAGTCTTTCATTTCGCTAGAAGCCTCAGGATCAGCAGGAGCATAGTGATTACAAGGAAATATCTGAAGAAAATAGAAATGTTACTGCTGTTAAATTTGTTCCTGTCCCTGCCAGGAATTATGTAAAACAACAGGATAAAACATCCACAGAAGGGGGCTTGGCAGGGACAACTGCTTTGGAAATGTGCCAACTGAGGCTTCAAAGTCTCCTGGCAGATCCTAATCTGCCAGTCTAATTTCAGCCTTTGTTCAGTTGTGTCTCACTCTTTTTGACCCCATTTGAAGTTTTCTAGGCAAAGATACTGAAGCGGTTTGCCATTTCCTTCTCTGATTCATTTTACAAATAAGACACTGAGGCAAATAGGGCTAAGTGACTTGTCCTGGGTCACACAGCTAGTAAGTATCTGAGGCTGGATTTGAACTCAAGAAGAAGAGCCTTTCTGACTCCACCTTCCCTCTCCACCCCCATTCCTGCCTCCAAGTCACCTCGCCCCCCTCTCATTCAGGACCTACAATTAAATTTTATCTTGACCTTCAAATTGCTTGAGAATTGTGTTTGAAGCTGTCTTGGAAATCAGTGAACCACATATGCTTGTTTTTTGTTGTGGACTGGGCAGGGCCTTTGGTTTTATCTATGTAAAGTACTCCATCTATAATCTTTAAGAGTTACCTGGAGTACTAAGAGGTTAAATGTCTTGTCTGTCTCCCAGTGTAAATAAAAAATGAAGACTTAAACTTGTACGTTGTTGGTTCCTGGGCAGGCCTTCTATCCACTATACCATGTAACACTTCTATCCACTATACCATGTAATTTTATTGAAATTCCTCACTTAAAAAATTCTGTAGTAAATTTAGACATATGTATTTATACATACAGGGCAGCTAGGTGGCACAGTGGATAGAGTGGCAGGTCTGAAGTCAGAAAGATTCATCTTCCTGAGTTCAAATCTGGCCTCAGATATTTCCTAGTTCTGTGACCCTGGGAAAGTCACTTAACTCTGTTTGCCTCAGTTTCCTCATCTGTAAAGTGAGCTGGAGAAGGAAATGATGAACCACTCTAATATCTTTGCCAAGAAAACCTCAAATGGGGTCAAGAAGAGTCAGACACGACTGAAATGACTAAACAACATGTATATACACACATGCACGCATATACATATAACTACATTCAAAACACACATTAAACCTCTAGCAAACCAGAAAACAAGTTTTAAAAAATATTTTATTCCTAGGGAAAGGAATAGTAGTAAAGCTGGGATAGGAGGTGGGGAATCTACGTGAACTATGCATTTCTTACAAGCAACAGAAACTCATATTGAATCCATTTGTCTTCTTGTAAATAAACATAAAAAGCAACCTCTTAAGACAGTGCTTTATCTGAGCTAACAAAAGTCTAACTTACATCTCTTTAGGAATGGACAGATGAGGTTTTCAGTTTGGCAACAAATCTGCTGGCACAAAACATGTCTAGGGACGCATTTCTGGAAAAAGCGTAAGTAGCTCAAATATTTATTGGTAAGGGTGTTACTTCTCTTTCTGAGTCAGTTTCCTTTCCCCTTTGTTAGCCTTTTGTTTATGTGATTGCTAACTTTTTCGTAGCTATAAACACGGATTTTCCTCTAGGGTTGTGTGCTTCTATACGATCATGGAAAATTGCCAAGAAACACAAATCCTTTCAGGAAACTGTCTTTTAGAGTTATTGATGAGCAACATGCTTGCATGCCCATGTGTTAATTCCACTGCACACAGTAGGGGGAAGAAAAACTTCCGAGTCCTGGAATCAGCTCCCAGGATTAAAAACAAAGAATGCTTTATCTTACTCTCCTTCTGCATTTGCAAATGTTATGACTATTATTAGAAAGGATGTGTGGAATAGTGAGTAGAAGACTGGCCTCTGAGTCAGGGTGACCTGGGTTCATGTTTTACCCCTGACATATACTGGCTGTACAGGCAAGATCTTAATTTCTAAATGCTGTACCAATGAAATCATAGACTCTCCCACCTCCATGGAGAAGGATGGACACAGGCATTTGTTAAACACCTACTATGTGCCAGGCGCTGTGCTAGGCACTTTACAAATATCTCATTTGATCCTCACAACAACCATGGAAGGTAGGTACTATTATTATCATCCCCATTTTACAATTGAGGAAACTAAGGCAAACAAAGGTTAAGTAGTATGTCCAGGGCCTCACAGTTAGTAAACATCTGAGGCCGTATTTGAACTTAGGTCTCCCTGACTCCAGGCCTAACACTTTATTCACTGTGCCACCTAGCTTCCTGTTTATATACATAAATTCATGTATATATCCTAATTATTAGTCCAGGAAGGAAAATGAACAACATGTGCTATTTGTTTTTCTGGCATTTTAAAGTTCTGGTAGGGAGCCTCAGTGAAGTTACTGTTGTCCCCAGATCAATGCAATGATTCTAATCTTTGCAACAATGAAAACAAAAGTTCACAAGAAACGTGCCATAGGAAGAGATAGACAGTAGGAAGAAAGAACACTTTAACTAGATAAAAGAAGGAGAAGGGAAGGAGTAGAAAAAAAATTAAGAAATTACTTTGTCACTGTCTATTTGGTCAAGGCAAATGAAGGCTGGTGGTATTTACTTTTGAGTTGTGGCCATGTTGGAATACATTTAGATTCCGTGTGGATTCCATGGCCTTGTAGCCATGTTGGAATCTGGACAGTCCATTAATTCGTTATCATGGGCTTGTATATTGGGCTATATATAGTATACTTCCTCTTCCTCTTCTATTTTTCCAAACCTCCCAGTCCTTCAAGGCTCAGCTCCAGAAAATCTCCTTTAAACCTTTCCCTACTTCTCTACCCCCACATTGATTACTTCCTTCTCTGAATTCCTCTTATAACTTATAAGTACTGCACAGTTTATCACTCATGTATTCTTTAATTGTTTTAATATGGGCTAATCCTGTCTTTCCAAATAGACAGTAAGCTTAAGGTCATTAGTCATATATCAAAAAAATATCTTTAACTCTGAGAGAGTAGAAGGTACAAAGGTGAATAAGACAGTAGTATGAATAACTGAGATTTGTTTTGTGAATGAAGATTCATTGGTCTACAAATACTACATACTTTCAAGGGAGGTAAAAAGATTGTGCATTGTTACTTGAACCAGTTCACTTGCTTTTTTTATGAAAAGGCTCATATTTAATATTAATTTTAGGAAAAGCTCAGGCATACAACAAACCCAGATGCAAGATTTCTAGGATACCCTAAAGTTAGGACATCCAGTCCTATATCCAGTCCTACTTCCTGGCCCCCCTCTACCCATGGTCAGTGTTAAATTACTTTATGATGGAGGCCTGAAGGCCTATAAATCAACTTGAGTTTCATTAATTGATAACCCCTTGGGCTCTCTTGCATTATCAGACCTACTCAAGCAGGCATTGGTTTTGACAGCAAGTTTTTCCACTGTCTTAAATCTTATAATAATTAAAGGCATCCAGTTGTTTAGAACCAGGCCATGTAATTTTCAAATAATTCCTTTCATCATAACAAGTGAGGGCATTTCCTCTCCAAGCTATCCAAAACTTACTGCATTCAGATCAAAGAATGAATGGGTTATAGACTTAAGTAATGTAGCAAAGTAAAGTGTATGTGTATACATATACATATATATATGTGTGTGTGTGTGTATATATACATACATACATACATACATACATACATACATACATATATATATATATATATATATTTGCATGGTTTGCAGATGCCAGACAACCTTTGCTTTAATGCTACACGTGTGATAGATTGTCATTCATGACCCTGAAGAGCTTGCTAAGGACCAAAGTATAGGCTACTAAATTGATACTACATCTTCCTCTAGTAGAGGAAGTACTTGTAGCTAAGAAAGAGGACCAACTAGTAGAAATGTTCAGCAACAGACATAAATTATCTAAATTTCACCAATTCATTTTCTTTTTAAGGAGAAATGGAGAAGAAAAGGCCCTAAGGCTGCTTCTAATTTGCACTTGAGTGTGGGCCCAGAGGATAAAACTTTTTTAACATGTTTGTCTTACATACAATGCATAGATATATAAATGAATCAATTATCTCATCAGTATGGTAGGCCTTTGGGTAATGCCTCCTTATAGTGTATAATTCTTTTACGTTTCTTTCCCTCCTCCCCTGCCCCAGCCTCTCTGATGGACCAGATTCCACACAGAGGGCACAGAAGGAGCAGATTCTATGGGAAACCTTCCCCACAATCTTCTTTCTAATGTTCCCTTCCCCAACCCCTGCCTAGTTAGACATTAACTCTCCCACATCCCTATCACTACAGGAAGGAACTCAAAGCCTCACTTTATTCTAACCCTCAAGTCTTCTTCCTTCTTCCCCAAAGTGGTGGGCCAGGCCCCTCCAGACCTCCCTTATCTTATGCGGGTGGGGGGGGGTCACTCACACAATTTATAGGTGAGGAGTCACCAACAATAATCCTTCCAGTAAGATGAAGGACCACTAGACCTTGCCATCTGCCCTAACTTTGTGCCCAGTCATTGCTGTCTTACTTGCCAATACACCCTAACAACTCCCAGGCCTTGTCACTCATCCTTCAGGTGAGTGACATCTTTTAACCAAATTAGCCCTTCCATTTTCTTGCATCTGAATCCTCAAATATATGCATACATACATAATACATACAAATATAATATACACATATGTGTATATGTGTTGTGTGTATGTGTATTTATATATGTATATATGCACATATATACATATATGTATATATACACATATATGTATACACACACACAGATGAGGAAACTGAGACTCAAGGATGTTGTTACTTATCCATGGTCTCACAGCTATCATTTATCAGAATCAGGGCTCGAACCCAGGTCCATGAACTTCAAAACCAGAATTCTTTTCACTAGTACATACTGTGATATTTCTACTTTCCTTTGGGACAACTTCAATTTTTATTCATTCAAGGCCATTGTATTCCATGAGTCATAGCCATATATTAGTCCTGTATATTGGTATTGGTATTTGGTATAAACCAAAGATTGATTTGTGGGATTGAGGAAACAGCCAATAGTCAACTGTCATAAGTGTGATGCCATTTCCCGAATATGATCCGACCCAATATCCTCTTCCCATTTTCTTCTTATACCTCAGGTATTATAGATTTACAGCTGAAAGGAATTTTAGAGGTCATCTAAACCAGCTCTCTTATTTTCCATATGGGAATGCTGAGACCCAGGCAGGGAAGTGACTTGATTAAGGTCACACCAATTGGTAAGCAGTAGAGTTGAGATTCAGATTCAGAACATCTTACTTCCAATGGAGCACTTTTCCACTACACTGTGTATAACCTAAGCTATTATTGATCTATCCTAGCTTATTATTGATCTGCAGTGTTTGTCCAAGATAGATATAGATTTAGATAGAGATAGAAAAAAGAGGTAAGATAGACATCAAGATATAGATAGACGGACATAGATGTGGATATGGATATACGTATACATAAACACATATTTTTCTTTAACCATTACTATACTCATGGACTGTGTTAACTGGCTGCCCTCATCCAACTATATATCATAATCTGGGCAATATGTGTTTTTCTCTTCAAAAATTCCTACCCATATACCCATTGTGTTGTGGAGATGACCTGGAATTTACGGAAGTAATTAAGCAAAGCATGAGCTCTGAGAGGGAAGAAGAAAAAAAAAAACTTTTTGACTTATTGAAGTTTATTTCCTTATACACTCAAAGGCAATAAGAAACACTATTTCATGGGACATCTCATTTTTCAGGCTTCATGATGAACATACATAAAAACATACAGCTTATGTACCAGCATCTTTTTCAGTATCAGTCAGATATAGGAGGTAATAAGGAGAATATTTTGAAAAACATTGCTCTGGTTTGAGAAAAGAAGGTCAAAAGCTTGTAGACTGCATAGAAGCCCCACAGCTACATATCATGAATATTTTCTTCCAGAAGAATTAGAAGGCACTGAAAATGGTGAGCACCAAACATCACAAATACCTTGATAGGAAATGAGTGATTAATGTGGAGGTCAAAGCAGAATTAGATGTCTGTTTGTGGTCAGACTACTGATTAATGAGAGCACAGGTCAAATTCAGCATTACCTAGACCCTTCAAATGATTGTAAGAATTTAAATGTGATCTATTCAAATGAATCAACATTGCTCAAAGATGGAAAATGAAAAAAAGGCTAAGATGTTGAACTTGTACGGGCACCACTTTCTCTTTAACTTACACAAGGCACTTAATGTAAGACAGAGGCCAAAAAGCTCAAAATTGGGATTTGTGAATATAGCACCTCCATCTCTGTACGTGACAACCCCCTCAGGTTGGGGTTTATAATATGATCTCTCTTGAGGCTTCATCCTGGGTGCTTTCACCAGCATCAGTTAACCAAATGATATTTCCTCCATATCAATTAATATCAATTTACTTTTACCAAAAAAAAATAATTTACTGAGAAGGTAGAGTAAGAACAGAAGTTGCATAACCTTAACCACCCTAATTTAAGACTGCACTCTCACATTCTCAGTCCCAGGGATGAGTAAGCTCAAACTTAACACACAAGGTAGTAATAGACAAGTGGGGCCATGTGATACCTTATGATTCCTGACACTGAGTATCCTTTTCTCCCTTCACAGAGTCCCTACTTTGGGGCATAGCTTCACAATAGATGATGAGTTTTCCCTTGCTCAACTGGGCTGGCTTCTTCTAGAATGTGTTTTCTTGGCTGCTAGGTTAATCCACTGCTGGACTGAGTCAAGAAGGTAGCTCAGCAGCTGTGGGGGGATGTGTAGTGGGGGACTCCTCATTCAACTAAGCTACTGCTGCTAGTAACTGCAGGGGTCTCTGCTATTCTGGTTACTGAGGTGATAGCTAATGGCCTTACTGACCTTTTGACACTCAGGAAATCATAACCTAAGCCATTTCATCTCAGAATCCTCATACACCTAAGATCATAAAAGAAGAAACACAACAGAAACAGAGTTGCCATGTCCCTAAGGCCACATGGTAGCTAGGTAGGAGATAGGGCATTTTTTTCCTCCCTCATCCAGTGGTTCACAATATTTATCACTTCAGGGCTTCCAGGGAAGAGACTGAGATTTTCAACTCAAACCTTTTATATGCACTCTCAGTTCTAGCTCAACAGGCAATTAAAAGATTTTTCTTTTTATTACTACAGTATGTGCCAAGAAGAAAAAGTCAAAGGATAACTGCTCATACTCAAAAGAGGAGGAAGGGAGCCTTACATGTGTGAGAAGCAGGCTCAACAAATCTCCATGTTTTAGATTGGAACCAGACAGGACATATTACACAAGCTATATATAACCCACTGGGAAGGTTAGATTTGACCATGCTATAAGGATTGGGCTTTCATGCACCTATCACATCACCAAACACTTGAATTCTTTGTATTAGTGAAATACGGAGTCAAGGGCAACACCAGTTTTGAATGCAAATTGCTTTTGTATCCTGTGTTACCAATCACATTTATAGAATACGATGGAGGAAAATGCCCGGAAATTATAAGCAATGTCACCTTATAAAATTAGCAATAAGAAATGAAAGCAAAAACAAGTCCCCAGAAAGGTTGGCATTTGGCATTCATACCCAAATGAATATCATTGCAAGGACATTTCATGAATGAAACTAGCAAAAGGATAAGTAAATATAAAATGGTGCAGATTTGTCAATATTTTATTTTGATGTATTTTTGTCATCACTGAGAAAGTGTTATATTTGGACTTAAACATCTTAGCACCTGATTTGCTATATAAAGAAATAGAAATTGCAGTTAGGAAGATAAAGTTGGGGAAAACAGCTGGACTAGCACATAGGAAATCAAAGATGAATGTGATACAATCTTGAAGTCATTGAGGAAATATTGTACAAACTATATTAAGTAACAGGAGATACAAAAATCCGAATAAAAAAAGAATGACAGACACCAGTCCTGCAAAAAAGGTAACTGAGAGCAATTCAATAACATTTTTCTCTTTTATTTGCACATATCTTAAGGGTGTCCACCATGAAAATATGAAAAATAAAAAGTCAATAATTTGCAAGTGATTTTCCATAGTAGACCACATCTTTATAGTCTTATAATTAGCTGAAAGGTACAGAGAATACAAGCTTTGTGACCTCAATTTTTTGATTACCAAAAAAAAAAAAGAAAGAAAAATGTTTGATCCAGTACAGCACAATTCAACCTTAAAGATTCACCCAACAAGGAATTTCTCATGTATATAATACGATCATAAAGTATTCCTTAGTAAATGTCACCAATGTCACCATAAGGATAATTTTATTCAGTGACTCTATGATTATTATCCTCACCAAGTGACAAATAACAATTGCTAGCATTTTTATGGTGCATTAAAGTTTGTAGCTTGTCAATATTATATGCCACTATGATTGTAATTATGGAGAAAAGATATAAAAGAGTTCACTAAATATCAATTTTTAATCTTTTTTGTGTCATGGACCTCTTTGGATATCCAGTATAGTCTATTGACTTCTCAGAAAACATGTTTTCAAATACATAGAAGGATGCAAAAAGAATTCTGTTGAAATACATATGTGTGTGTATATATATATATATACACACTCATATACATGCATACATGCATACATATACATACATATGTACATATATTCATATGTACATGTGTATGTATGGTTCATGGGCCTCAGGTTGAAAATTCTTGTCAACAGATAGATGGTTAGCTAGGTCTTCCAAAGGCCCTGTTTAAATGTGATATTGTCCTAATAGTATCAAGTCCAAATGTGATGAAAGATGTCCTCAATGAGATCTGTGGTTATTCAAAAGAGATATGCCTAACAGTCAAGAAAAACTGAATGGATGAAACATGCCTATTATCTCCAGTGTTGGGGAACCTGTAGCCTAGAAGTCACATGTGCCTTTCTAGGTCCTCAAGTGTGGTCCTTTGACTGAATCCAAACTGCACAGAACAAATCCCTTTAATAAAAGGATTTGTTTTGTAAAACTTGGACTCAGTCAAAAGGCCACACCCAAGGACCTAGAAGGCCACATGTGGCCTTGAGGCCTCAGGTTACCCACCCCTGATCTAGGCTGTAATTTGCAGTTCAATAGGCAATCCTATGGGTTAGACAGCCTGTATGTAGATCTGGAACAGAAACAATGGATGTATAAGAAGTTGGGCCCAGAATCAAGTAGAGGAATTGGTTACATTTGGGAAATTACACTGCTTTTAATTATTTCAAATTGCTTTCTGGAACAACAACACATCTGTTTAATCCATATATTCTTCTGATAATGCTATATTGAGAATATTGAAGAATTCATCTCTTTTATATTGTAGCCATTTTAAATTCTATTAAATCAACCATATGGAGCATGTTCTAAGTTCTAGTCGAACTTTCTTTTGATTTCCTTACTTCTCAATCTATATAATTATTGTTCAGGGCCAAAACAGACAAATGATGAATTACAGTGACTTGCAGACTCTCCCAAAGGACTTGTTTTTTTTTCAGTATTTAAGAGATTTTATTAAAACGGCAATTTCATAATCTCAGTTATTTTCCTTGCTCAGCTATTGATTCAGTTATCTGAAATAGTGGTAATATTCTCCCAAAAAAGGCTAAAGAACAGTAGGATATATAAATGTATTGATTAGTAAAGTTTCACTTTTATTTTCTTGTAAGTCCTATGAATAAAGAAGAACTTTGTTTTTCTCTTTCCCCAACAGTTATACCAAACTCAAGCTACAAGTTACTCCTGAAGGACGAATTCCTCTCAAAAAGTAAGTTCCATTACTAGGTACTGCTGTTATTGCTATTTGTTAAAAAAAAAAAAACACTTTTAATTGGCTTGAGTTGACATCATATTGACATTACCTAATTTTATAGATGAGGAAACTGAAGAAGAAGGAAATTCTGTGATTTGACCCAGGTCACCCAGCCCGCTAATAAAAGAGATCAGATTAGAAATCATTGTTAGATTGGTTTTTCTGGTATAGCCATTTTTTAATGACATCTTTATCAGGAGCTTCAAGAGCTTCATACACACACACACACACACACACACACACACACACACACACACACCCCTTTCAGAATACCAACCTAGGTTCATAAGCGGCTGAGTAAAAATAAATGACTAAATAAGAATTTAGTGTTACACTGTAGTAGGTAACATGGTATGGCACAAGGGTTCTTAATCCAGGGTCCCTGAAAAAAAATGTAGGTAGATAGACATAGATATAAATATATTTAAATGCAACTGAGAATTGTCTGTATATACATACTGTGTATTATGTATTTCATATAGATATATATATATGTGTGTGTATATTTTATATAATGTATCATAATTGGTTGATACTGTTTTCAGTTTAATTGGCTTCCTTGTAAGACTATATATTATACTTCATGTGTTTAACAATACTATTCTATGAAAGTATGCATAGACTACCCCAGACTGCAAAAAGGGTCCATGGCACACTCAAAAAAGTAAAGAATCCATTGTGTAGTAGAAAGAACCTTATCTTTAACCTGTCCTCCTCTTTGGACCATGATCTTTCTTTCTTCTTCTCCTTTTCCCTTGGTGGTTTCTCCAAAGCAACAGGTGAGGGGTAGCAGTTTTCTGTATGTAATTAAAGTTTTCAGATATTACTCCTTAACTTCATTGGATAACTCTTCCCAGATTTGAGAGATCTCAAAATCTTTTCACCTAGAAAGAGTTTATATGGGGAGAAAAAAACAATTCCATGGTTTCAAATTCTCACTTTTGGTGTCCCTTCCTTTAAATCAATTTTTCAATGGAAGAGGCTGCTAGGTAGTACAATGGACAGAGTGCTGGACCTACCATGAGGAAGACTTAAATTCAGTTCCACCCGCAGACACTTACGAGCTTTGTAATCCTGGGCAAGTCACTTAACCTCTCTCTGCCTCAAAGGTTTCCTCATTTGTAAAATAGGTATAATAGCACTTGCCTCATAGGGTTGTTGTGAGGATCAAATGAGACAATATTTATAAGCACTTTGAAAACTTTAAAGTAAATCCATCATGTCATAGTACGGATTATGTTCCAGAGATGCAATGTCTGTTTTAGACATTGGACAGAATAATTGAATCAAACACAATCCTTTTCATTCAGTACAGAGGTCACAGATGTGAACACAAATTTTATTTTGTTTTGTTTTGTTTTTAAGATAGGGATAGAGAGAAAGACTGGGCCTATTATTTCATTATAAGAAGTTGCCAGGAAAGAACTCTCTCTACCAATAAAGGCCAGTGCCCTCCCTGTAACTTAGTCTTAGAGAGCTACCTAGATCACTGAGAAGTTAAATGACTTGCACAGGATCTCATAGCTAGTATGTGTCAGAGTTAGGCCCTGAAGCCAGGATGTCATATTGCTTCTATTATAAATTTGTGGGTTTTTTTTAATATAACAAATAGTGTTTGAGTTACTAAAACATTTTCACTTTGAATCATTTCCATGGAATTAAGGATACGACAATATAATATAACTTTTAGTCAATTCTTTTCTTTTTTTTTTCATTTCACAGCATCTATCGCTTGTTTTCAGCAGACCGAAAACGAGTTGAAACTGCTTTAGAAGCTTGTAGCCTTCCATCTTCAAGGGTAAGCATATGGCCAACCTAAGAATAGCATATCTAACATCTCTTTAAACAACCTAAACTGAAATGTTACTTGTAACTTTCCACCAAAATATATTTATAACCTGGTGATTTTTAAAGTGTTTGCTTACTTTTTAACCTGAGAGACAACAATGGCATTATTAGTTATGTGTGTGCAATTTGTGAGACTGTTGTATTTACTCAAACACTTTTTTCTTGATTTCTACTCCAGATATGTGTGGATATATAAATATGATATTTATAACATTCCTTAAGAGTAAATTTTTCTTGCTTTATTCTGAACACATGAATATATAAACATGATATTTGTAACATTCCTTTGGGCAGCTAGATGGATAGAGCACTGGCCTTGGAAACAGAAAGACTCATCTACATGTGTTCAAATTTGGCCTCAGACATTACTAGCTATGTGAACCCTGGGCAAGTCTCTTTCCCTGTTGACCTCAGTTCCTTATCTCTAAAATGAGCTGGAGAAGGAAATGTCAAAACACTCTAGTACCTTTGCCAAGAAAACCCCAAATGGTGTCACAAAGACTCAGACATGACTAAAATGACTCAACAACAACAACAAACATTCCTTTAAAATTGAAGTTGATAGCGTGTTTTCCAAATGGAAACATGTATGCTTCATTTTTTTCATTTTTATGTGTTTCTACTCTAAATCCTATCTAACAATAGAAATTTGAATATGTTTACATATTAGGCCAATTACCATTTCATAAACAGAGAAAAGTTAGTCTCTTCCTTAACCTGCTTTCTCCTTCCATTGAAGATTTGTTAACATAGACTTATACAATAACCCTAAGTGAGAGAAACAAACCAACAGCATCATTTTCAGTTCTGACTTTCGGTTGCTAAAAATTGTTTGCCTGGAATATTGGAATAAAATATTAACTATCAAACATAAAACATTTAAGAGTAACTTTACCTGGCTACCATGATTTAAAACATTTCTTTTACTCAGTAGTAACAGGGAGAACTTGAATACTATCGTTGGTAGTAACTATTATATGTTCTAATTAATTTGTCGGTAGAATAGGTCTGAGAGTTGCCCAAGTCATTTTGAGTCCTATTATTGATTGTCATGGTGTGAGAAATAAACCAGGAAAAACTGAAAGCAATCCAATTCAAATGCCTCATTTTTAATTCAGTAAGTATTTATTAAATACCTGTTATGTATCAGGCCCTATGCTAGGTGTAAAGACAAAAACAAAACAAGTCCAGCTCTGAAGGCTTACATTTTCCTGATAGTGGTGGTTAATATGTATACAGATAAATACTCAGTATTTCAATGGGCCCTATAAGTGGAAGGGTCTTAATAACAAAGTGGGACGGGAGAAAGGCCACTGACTTTGGAGTCAAGGGAACTGAATTCAAAGCCTTACTGTGACATGTGTGAGGTTGGATAAGTCATTTAACATCTCCAGGCCTCAGTTCCTTCATCTGTAAAATTGAGAAGTTAAAATAAATGACCTCTGAGGTCTCTTCCAAATCCCGAGCTATGATTCTGTGATTCCAGTGGGGAAATCAAGAAAGGCTTTTTGGAGGAAGTCAAAGGTGATCTGAGCCTTGAAGGAAGTTAGGGATTTTGCAAGCCAGAGGTACAGAGGCAAGAGATGTTTTCTTATTAAAGCCCCTTGCATTAATAGGACGGATAAAACATCCCCACTTGACAGTTAAGGAAATCAAATCTCACAGAAGTTAATTGGTTGGTAAAAATTCACACCACTATTGGCAGAATTGTTACTAGAACCCTGGCCTCAGCCCTAAACTAATTCTCTTTTGACTCAACTATAATACCTCATGTTAGTGATATATGCTCTCCAAAGAGTGCTACCCAACCCCAATTGGATTCTCTTTTATGATTTGTGCTGATCAAAGACTGAGTTGCACTCCTATTCTTAAAGCCTAGACTTAGGATCTTTTATTCTACTTAATGAGAATTCTGTTCTTTCCTACTTTCCTTATACAATGAAGTGAATATCTCACTTCTTATGACCACAACCAGAAAGGGAAATAGAAGTACAGCTATTTCTATAACTTGTTGAGTATTTGCAGACTGTGTCATCCTAGCCCAGGGCTATTCAAAACTCAAGTCCAATTTTCTGTCCTCATTCACTACTTATGCTCACATTTTCTCTTTTTTTTTCTTTCCATTTTTGGTAGTAATTTTATTTAACTTTTAAAGCTATCTAGTTCTTTGTCTCCCTTGATCTCTTACTTTGCTATTTTCTGTGTCAAGAGTTGACAAATACCAGGCATCAGTATGATGCAATTAGGTATCTGTTTCTAGAAGATCCAAAATAAAACCTATTGAGTAAAAAATGTATCATAGTCATTTAACTCTGTCACAAAGGCTGAGATTTGGATATATTCATAGAAGACATCTTTCCTGAGGAGAGTTTTCAATGTTACATTTTACTGTATCAAATCAAATGCTTTCTTAAAATCAGTAAAGAATAAAGTATAACACTTTATTGTCTATCTCTTTAAATCAACTGACATTATAAAGATATGATCTAGTATTATAAAATAATATTTAAAAATCTACCTTCTCTTTTTATATTTTCATCAACAACACCCTAGATGTATGCATTGTACATTGAAGGGATGGGGAAGTAGAAATATGGGGTCAACAATTCTCTATCTGGACTCAAATCCTTCTTTGACCTATCTTGAGAATCAATCCATTTGTCTCTTAAAGAGGCAATCCCCTTTAAAATTATGTTACATCTAGCCTCCAATCCCATCCAGAAAGCATTTATGGAATAACTCCTATTTTCAAGGCACTGTGCCAAGTCTTAAGAATATCATAACAAAACAAAAATGTCTCTGCCCTCAAGAGGTTTACATCTTACTGGATCAATTGTTTTTCTCTTTGTACTTGATCTTCCAGAGTTTTTCTTCTTAAATAACATTACTACTTCTTTGCATGGTACACTGGAAACAGAGCTGGTGGTGTCCAAATTCTACTGTTGTTGCTATAAGAGATCTCTTTGAAAAAACTGCCTGCAGATGTTTTTCACTTTATATCTGTTTGTAGTCTTCCTCTTAGCTGCATTGACAATGTTCTCAGTATAATCACACTTTAAGCTTGTTTTCTCCTCAATTTTGTTTTGAGGTTGCTTATAATAAACTTTCTTCCTCCTCAGTAATGTTTTGCAAATGAGTTGTTACCTAAATCAACATGATATTTGGTTGCCATAACTCTTTTTTTTGGCAAAAGGATTGTGTTTACTGATTGAGATAATTTCTGAACTCTTTTGTACTCCTCATTGTGAAAACTTTTACAATGATTATAAATGCAGTACATGTTCTGAAGCTACTCTTCCAAATCCCATTATCACTGACAAATGGAGTCCCCCAAGGGCAACTGCTTCAGGCTTCTATGGGTAACCCTGGAGGGTTAGAGTGTGTTTCTATTGCTGTAGCTTATGAGTCTCTACTACTATGCTTTTATCCCTTGATCATTAGTTAATATCAATTAGTTAACCTTTAGAAAGGCTTTAGAAAGGTTCTGTTTAAGGTAATAATAACTAAGTTAATGCAGTAAAAAAAGTTGGTACAAAATATCCCCTCCTTCAAAATCTGTGATACACTCTACTACCAGTACATATAGAATCCAAGGGAAAACATGCTTGGACTTAGCTCCAATGTGATAAAGAGGGTGATTCATAACTACTAGGAGTCCTTTTGTTGGAGTCCTCAAGATATCTCCCTAGACAATTCATCTTACATTTTACAAGAATTTTCACACTTCTAGCTGTAAAAGGAATTTTGTTATTGTTTCTGAAAGAACTAAATTTAGCCCATGAAATCTTTCTCATTTTTGATGGAGAATTAAACTTATTTTTACATTAGTATTTCAGCAACACAGATGGAGTTTTTTATAGACAAAATTGATTTAATAGGGAAAAATTCTAGTTCCTTTAAACAGCCTTATAGTCACATTTTTGGAGCATTAGAAAATCAATTTACATTTTTTATCATTAACTCAAAAACATTGGAATAAAACTATTGACTTAGCTGTATTTTGTACTTAAAGATTATAGTAATTGCTTTCTTGGTTTATCAGGAGCTGAATCAGCTGTCTCTATTATCAGTTTTATGTCTTGTGTATTAAAGAACACTGGATGATGGCTTCAGAAATTGTGTAGTTTGGGGAGAATAAAATTGATGATTTTGGCTTTGGAAATTGAGATGGAACAGAGACAGAAGGCCTTGTAAGGTCTGAATGGGGGGAGTCTAATACTGTATTCTTCACATAATATAAATAAGTTAAAAATATGAACATATTTCAATTTATGGGCATTCACCTTAAGGATATTTGGCAATGGGGATAACAACCAGCAAATATATGTGTAAGCTTTCAAATGAAATTAATTTGTAGGACTGATTAATTTTAATTAATTAATTTAGTCAATAGGGCTAGGTTTCCAGTGGGTAGAGCAGGGAACTTAGAGTAAGGAAGATGAATTCAAATCTTTCCTCAGACACTCATTACATGACTCTGGGAAAGTCACTTAACCTATGACTGTCTCAGTTTCCTCATTTATAAAATGGAGATAATAATAACATCTACCTCCTAGGTTTATTGTGAGTATAAAATGAGGTAATATCTGTAAAGCACTTTGTAAACCTTAAAGCAACATATAAATGCTGTTATTATTAATTCATTATTTCTTTTATTCTGAACTCTCTTTTGATTTGGAGTAAATTTGATAAGCATTTATTAAGTACCTACTATGTGCCAGGCACTGTACTACATATGTGGGATAATAGCATTTTGTGAAATGTTTTGAACAAAGCTATTGTACACAATAACATTTTAAGCTAAAGAAAAGAATAAATAGAGTAATAGCACTCAGTCAATCAAATTAATGCAATATAAAACTAAATTATATAGGATCATAGATTTGGAGGTAGAAGGAACTGTAAAAGTCATTTAGCCTTTTTATAGATGAGGAAATTGAGGTCTAGAAG